GATAAAATATACGCGTTGACTAATGAGCACTTTGAGAGCTGAGTCTCCTCATGTACTCTGAGCACGACAGCGCGCGATGGAACGCGCTCAAGTGCCATTAGCCGTGGAAGTAACTCAAACTGCAGCGTTCTGTCCCGCACGGCCCAATTACGGCTCAGAGAGACGTCGCTGAGAGAAGACGGGAGACAATTAACCACGGAGCGGAGAGAGCGAGAGACGGGGAGGAGAAGCAGAGAGGGAGAGACAGCGCGGAGGAGATAGCAGCAGCAGGAGGAGAGAGACGACATCACAGAGGCGGACGACCGGCCAAAGAGAGGGAGGCGCGGATGAAAATATGGGAGGGCTTTGGTCGGCAGTGGGGAGTTACAGGCTGACCACAACAACAATAACACCAATAACAAAAATCACATTAATCACAGCAACAATCACAAGAACAATGAAAACAACAATCACAACAACAATAAACTTGGTTCGAAGCTTTCGTGACTGCAGGAATTAATCTTTGTCTTTTTTCGGTAAAGTCACGTATAAATAACAACAACAATGTCAGATTATTGCGTGACAAAAATAATAGAAGGAATAGAGTGAATGGCGTCTAACTTTCATCATCGCCATCAGCCATGATCAATCCACTGCTGGATAAAGGCTTCCCCAAGCCACGGCCAATTCTCATGGCCCTGCCGTCTAATGATCCCACAAGCACCATCACACGCGAGCTGATTCCATTGGTCCATCTCCACGCACGGATGAGTTCCATCCCTTGGCTGCCGCTCCCATCAAACATCCTTCACCCTCGGCCGTCAACCCTGACAGCCATGACGCGTCCTGCCCGAGCCACGCTCCTCTGTCACGCAATGTAATTCCAAACGTCAAATATTTTTTTGCGCACTCTCCAGCTTTTTGTGTTCCATAATTTTGAATTTTATGAATCATGATTAATTCTCATGTTATTAAGTCGTATTATTAATTAACCACCATGAGATTATTAGACGATGTGGCGGAGACGCCAAGGAGACAGCGTGCGTACTGCTGCAGCAGCAGCAGCAACGAGAGCTGCTCCGTCGGAGGTCACCGGCCAGGGGCTCCGGCGTGACCTGCGCTGTGCCACCAAATCACGAGGCTCGGCGGCGTCAGCCACGTCCATTCGACGCCTCTTTCTGTTTGTTTGTTTGGGGCGCATTTCACGATCGCTGCTCACGTTGTCGCCCTCAGCAGCCGCACCCTGGTTTCATTTCGTACTCGTTGGCTCTCGTCCACACGAGGAAGCCTCCTCCTCCACTCCACCGTGCCCGCTCCCACTCTCCCTCCTCCCCGCCCGTCTGCCTCCCCCCCCCAAGCTACCCAAACCCTCCTCCTCCTCCCGCTCTGGACCACTTCGCTGCACCACCTGCCCGAGGCCATCGGTGCACTCCGCCATCAAACCGCAGGCCTCGGTGGGGCATCTGTAGCCCCTGCGTCTCCACCTCTGCAAAATGAAGGGCAGTGAAGGCCGTGCCAATTTCTTTCCAACAGCATTTCCCTTGGGTTGGGGGTGGAGGTAAGGGGGGAGGGGGGGTGGGGCACCTGGATAAACTAACAGTACCTCTCTTCGCTTACCCGATTGAGCGCCCACACTGTTGCCTCAAAAGTGTGAATTTCGGGTTTAAATTTGTTTTTGTCGTTCGGCAGGCGCGCGCGCGACCGCGCGAGCAGCCGTCACCGAGTCGCCGTGCCCGCCGCGATCGTCGCCTCTGCACTGCGACTAATATCACCCCCCCCTGCCGCCGGGTCCCACGTTCCCAGCGCCGTCCGCGGCTGATGGGTGGAACGGTGGCGGGAGAGGAGACGCGGCGCGCTCTGCCCGGCCCCCTGCCCAACGTCTCGTGGCCGCACTGGACGACGAGGACGAGTGCAGCTCCAGAGCTGCTACCCCGCTCACACAACGCCGCGATGCGCCGCCGCGAAGCATGATGAGCAAATGCTGAAGCAGTAGAATGTTTTATGTTTTAAGTCCGTCGAGAAATTGGATTTACTGACCCATATTATCCGGCAGTATCATTTAGGAAGACAATTCTGGACCCGTTTGACATTCTGGGTCTCATCAGCAGAATTGGGGCTTGTTTAAAAAAATGCTTCCGTCTTAGCAGATGTCATTGGCAAGAGCACTTCATATAAATTATAGGTCTCTGATCCCCACAAAACAGGCAATATTGTATGCCAACTTGTTACGTGTTATTGTGGAGCGTTATGGGCAGAATTTATATCTTCTGAACTGCGTTCTGTCTCCACACGTAAATTAAATGTTTAGTCAATTGGCATATTGGCTTTCCAGACCAATATTATCCAGCAGCACCATTTGTTTAAGCAATCAAACTCTGGAATGGTTTTGACCCTTTGGCTCTCATTACCATTGTTTAACAAGCCTGACCCTGCTGATGAGATTTAAAATGTCAAAACCACAACTACATGCGGGCGTAATTTCTCACTCAATGTTTTTTTTCCAGATCGCTGGTAAAAGTGGAGCCGGTGGCACATGACCGGTAGCCGCAGCCACAGCGAGGGTAATACTTGATGTGGTGTGTCGGGTGTGAGACAATTTCCGGGTCACGCACCCGGACAGACCCGGCTGGACTTAAGCCCTGGATCTATCACATTCATCTTCGTGGCATCAGCTCCCCTTAATGCACAGCACGTGTGTGTGTGTGTGGGGGGGGGGGGGGGAGCGGTAGCGCAGTGGTTAGAGCACTGCGCTATGTAACAGCCGATCCGAGATCGTTCGATTCTGCGCTTACGGCCAAGGTCAGTGACGAATATTTGAACCGGTCCTGGGCCTGCCCTAGGTCAACTCAGCTTGAAATGAGTGCCTGGTGCGGTGTGGAAACATCGCCACTGGGGAGACAAAAGCGGCCAGGCGTGGTGCTAAGTCACAACACACCGTCGTGTGTGATGCCGGCCATCATAGGTGTGACGTAAAACAGCACTTGCCTCAACAGCCTGAAAAGGCTATACGGGGGACATCTGTCTTTGTGTGTGGTCGTGCACGCGAGGGTATTTTTTTGTTGGGTTTGTCGATGCGCCGTTGTTTTATTAGAAGTCACTGAACGCGCACACGCGGAGTCCACTGTAATAAGCAGCGCGCGTCTGAGGGCTTAATAATTATTATTAATAACTGAATTATTATTCTAAAATAACTGGAGTCCATTGGCTGCGCATTGCGCGTCGAGTTTTCGCGGTGGTGGAGGTAGCACTCGGGTTGACGTTTCAACGTTGCCCCTTCGTTTGGAATTCACCGGATTTTCACTCGCGATTTTATTGACATCGACCACCAACCCCCCCCCCCCACCTCCAGCCCCCACCCCCCGTCCCAAAGCGTTCAGAATCAATCATGGATAATTCACAATTGATTCGAAATCAAAACGTAAAATTCTCCCAAGCCCCCAGCGAAATGAAATCATCGGCCATAAACCTAACGGCCGCATTTGCACCACCCCGCCCACCGCCCCCCCCCCCCACGACGCGACGCAGTAAGTAAATAAATAAATAAATTTGTTGTTTAAAAAATAAATAAACCGAAACTATTACAAATAAACAAAAAATTTTAGCTTGCCTCTGCCGGCTCTGGGGATAATTCCGGTGTCAAGCTATCGAGCTGCCGCCTCTCTCTCCCTCTCGATCCCTGGGTTCAGGCCCCTGGCGAGACAGCCACAAATTGGTGCGGCTCCCTCGGGGTGGGGGGGGAGGTTCTGGAGCGTTGCCGCGTTTGATGGCCTCGGCGCACTCGCACGTCGCTGCACCGTTTCCCTTCGAAATTGGGCCCGGCGCTGTATTTGTAAATTGGTGCCTCTTGTAAGTCTGCTGCGAGGGCGCGCAATCGGTGAAGGGACAGATTTTGTCCTCCCTCTCTCCCTCTCTCCCTCTCTGTGACTCCTCGCCAGTTTTAGAGGCGCTTTCCCGTGACGCGACTGAAATAAAACGCAGCGCCATCATGATCATCTCTCTCTCTCTCCACTCAGGGACAGAGTTCAAAGGGTTAGAGCAACGGTTCTCAACCCAGGGTCTCGGGTACGCGCCAGGCAAGGCATATGTGGGGGCAGACCATTCGCGCAACGGCAGTGGTAGCGTTGTTATTTTGTTTGTTAATCTATTGATTTTAGTTTTTATAGTTTTCGTTGATTCGGAGACGAGCAGGAAGGCAGACAGAACCGGCGTCACCAATCGCCAAAGTTATGTGGTCCTACATTGGGATGTGTGGCCAACTCCGTTAATAATAGTTGTTCATACACGCGGGGAGAGACCACCGCGCGTGATGGACGGTACATTGAATCTCCGTACGGATGGAATACGGATGGAGATTAATCCACTTGCTCTACTGCCATCACATCCTGGCAAGCCAGGAGGTGGCGTATTTGTGCGGCAATTCACCAACCCTCACTGCCTCCACAGTGCGGGATTACACCCACGTGCAGCACAGCCACCCAGCATGTTGAGATGACATCGTCTTCGGTGTTAACACGTCCTAGGTGTTAATTACGTGTATATCATTACAGTGAATGTTTTCAACCATTACATTAATTACAAAAGCTAAATGATGGCAGCGCACGTGGACAGTTGACATGCCTGGTAGGGAGGGCACGTGACAAGTAAACGTTTGGGAACCTTCGGCTCAGAGGTTGGAGGTCAGGGTTAGGGATACCGTGAGGGCCGCGTGCCTATTGGCTGACCGGCGACCGGCAGAGGAGGAGGCAGTGATGCCCCTGGTCATGGCAATCGTCCTGCGTTGATCACTGCGTTCACGACGCCACAGCTGTCGCTCAAGGTCAGGTGTCGATGTCAGATCACTTGCGCCGCGTGGTGAGCAGCAGAGGGCAGTGCGGCAAGATCAATAATTGTTGTACTGCACTTCTGTGCCCTTCCTGATCTATGCTCACCGAGCAAGTTTTGAGTGAGAGGGGGTGAGCGAGGGGTGAGCCACAGGGGCGAGCGAGAAGGGTGAACGAGCGAGCAAGCGAGCGGTCACTCACGGCGATGAGGAGCTGGGTGGACGAGTGGATGACCTCGAGGTGCTGGTACTGCAGGAGGCACCCGGGCACGGAGATGTAGGCCAGGCCAGCAGTGGCACGGCCTGGCGGCGGCTCGGCCGGGGTCACGCGGCAGCCGGGCCCGTTCTCTCTCCACCACGAGCGGTGGATGGACGCGTGGAAGGTCAGCGTGTCGCTGTCCTGCTCGCGCGCAAAGACAAAGCTGTCCCGTATAGCTGCATAGAAAGTCGGACACGACCGATGAGAGATGGGGAAGGTTCGCTGCGGTGGGGGGAGGGGGGGGGCAAGCGGAGGCTCCATGCAGAAGAGACGGCTGAATCTGAATATTTATACTGGAAAAATCCGATGAGCTATAAAGCTCTTTTAATAGAGTATCCAGTAAGCAGCTGCTGTAGGCAGCAGCGAGACGGAATACAATAGTTGGGAGGCCACGACTAGACGTGAGCAGCGAATGAAGGAAGAATGAAGGAAGAATGGAGGAAGAATGGAGGAAGAATGAAGGAAGAATGAAGGAAGAATGAAGGAAGAATGGAGGAAGAATGGAGGAAGAATGGAGGAAGAATGAAGGAAGAATGGAGGAAGAATGAAGGAAGAATGGAAGAAGAATGAAGGAAGAATGGAGGAAGAATGGAGGAAGAATGGAGGAAGAATGGAGGAAGAATGAAGGAAGAATGGAGGAAGAATGGAGGAAGAATAACAAACATCTGCGACACACAAGGGGCAAGTGGCGCTTCTTCACCGCACGAAGAATCGCCACTGCCAAACGCACACCTTGTGCCGCTCCGACTTTCCTGTCGTCTGTCACAGTTAAAGTGGTTTCCGACTCAAACGAGCGCCGAAGCATCGGTGCTCATCTCCCGTCCACAGCCCTGCGAAGCCACAGTGGTTCTCGTTTTATCGACGCCGGAGAGACGATGATTGGGCTGAGTTAACCCTCAACCGGCATTTTGCCTCTTTAGGGGCAGCGTTACCGACGAACGTGCAGAGTGGTTGTTGTGGTTGTCCGCCACGAGCTCCAAACACGACACAAACACGTTTATAAAGTACAGAGCCTTTGTGCAGGAACTTTTGGTGCTTTTTTACATCATGCACAAAGGCTGTGTGCTTTGATCACGTGTTAGTGACTGGTGTGAAGCTCGTGGTTAGTTTTCCGGCCTGGACTATTCTTCTCTGGTGGACTTTTCGCGTCAATTACAGATTCAGATTGTACTCATTTGCGGCTGAGTCAACCTAGTGGAGGCCCAGGAATGGGTGAGAAAATCTTCACCGTTGTTGGTGGCCGTGAGCGGGAATCGAACTCGGGTCGCCGGGTTCGTAGCACAGGGCGCTAACTACCACTTCACCGCTCCCCGCGCTCGGATATGCACGCACACACGAACACACGCACACACGAACACACGCATACACGAACACAACGCACACACGAACACACGAACACACGCACACACGAACACACGAACACACGCACACACGAACACACGCACACACGAACACACACACGAACACACGCACACACGCATGCTGTCTGCAGTCGCCTGGCTAGGACCCAGCGAGCGATCTTTGTGAATTACAAGCGCTGTCAAAACAGCTTGGGAGCTGCTTAGCGAAATTAAACACTTGTCCAAAATGAATGGCCACCTGGAGGCCAAGTGTGCCGAGAAGGGTTGCCAGAATTAACAACGCGTCTTTTGTGAGACGAACGAGATTGCGGGTAGCAGCGACTCTTAAACCGGTGTCGACGTGCCAACAACCCGATTTAAACACTCCCGCTCTCTCTCTCCCGCTCTCTCTCTCGCGCTCTCTCTCTCCATCCCGCTCTCTCTCTCCCGCTCTCTCTTCATCCCGCTCTCTCTCCATCCCGCTCACCCTCTCCCGCTCTCTCTCCATCCCGCTCTCTCTCTCTCCATCCCGCTCTCTCTCCCGCTCGTTCCCTCGCGAGAAGCAGCCAAGCGCCACGCATGGGCGTAATTGCAAGGCTCCGAACAAAAGTAATTCATCTTCCGAGAGCTTTCAATGCGGCTTGACATTTATTTAATGTCTAATTAATAATAATCATAACAAATGATACGGCCTCGTTTAATTTAATTTGATAAGCCGTGCATTATAATTAGATTTTTCTTCCTCTTTCGTCCGTCGTTTATTAACAGACGGGGCGCGTTATGCGGGGCCTATTATACGCGCCTGGTCGTGTTCCGCCAAATTATGTAATTACCACGAGTTGTACCATCGTGTTAATTGTTGCCATCACCGCCATCGCCTTCCACTCCAGTGATCTCTCCGCTCTTTGACACCGACGTCCGCATTTTGGAATTAGCCGGTCATGTTCTCCGAGTTTGAGGGTTCGAGTGAGACGATTGAGGGTGTGCAATGATTCATCCCATTGTATCGGCATTCATCACCCCTCCCCCCATTACCGTTCCAGGTTAGGCCCGCGAAAATTATCACGCAGCGAGTTTACTGATCATTGTTTCATCTCGCTGTCCTTTGTCTGGTCAAGTCGAGCGTCGATGTATCTCCACGCTTCGATGGAGCCGAATTTTCTACCGGTGGTGGGGAATTCTACATTCCGGTGACAGGGGGATAGTCCACCCCATATTACAACCACTGTTGACCTCTAAAAAAGTCGAGGCAAGAATAACGATGGTCCGATGAGACCTCAGACTCTGATCTGAACTCACGACCGTTCGAATCTGAAGCCCTTTGACCACTGCACTGCTGGACGCGTGCCGTTACACCCGGAGATGAATCGCGAGCGACGCGAGGGCCGCTGGGCCGGGAAGACTCGGGGAGAGATCGAGGAAGCTGCACCTCGCTCGGCGCGAGAGGTGGGGGTTGAGGCGTTGAGCCACGGGGGCAGGGGATGCCGGTGGGTGGGTGGGGGGCAGTGTGGGTCGAGAGGAGCAAGACGGTGGTGGGTGGAGGGGGCGACCGTTCAGGTGCGACGGCCGCTTTCATTTCCCGCTCGGCTGAACAGGGCCGCGATGTCTCTATTTACGAGGCGGCAGGCCGGAAGCCGGCTACTTGCCGGTGAGTTAGAGTCTTCTCACGTGGCTAGCCCCTCCGATAAATCCCATTGCCAATGGGGGGCGGCGGCTGCAACCGCTGCCGCGTTAACCCCTGCGCTGGCCGCGACAGCCGGTACCGTGCCATCATCGCCGGCACGTGGCTCGGAATCGGTGGCAGCTGATGGGCGAGACTCGTGGCGACAGCGTGGCAGCCAAACAGGAAGGAACGCAACGCGTCCGAGAGGATGGTCGCCGAGGAGATGGAGCAATGGAATTATCTCTCGCGTGCAGGTGCTAGGCGGATTACCAAAACGGCCGGGCGTTGTGCTGGCCACAAAGCCCCTTTGCGTTGTAGTTTCGGCCTTCATAGGTGCTCGCTAACAGCACTTGCCCCAAACGTCTATTTAGGCTATACGGTGGAATCTTTGTCGTTGACTTTAATTATATCGCAGGAGCGTGAGAGATTGCGGAGGATTGGGGAGGTCTTCATCCAGTAGTGGATTGACCGTGGCAGTTAATGATGATGACACCCATTCATCGATGTTCGTATCAGCGGCGAATGAGGAGGGTGCTCGAGAATGCCTCGACCGTCGGTGAGAAGGCGGCTCAAGGAAAAACAAGTGCAGAGCCGTGGGGAATTCAAAAGGAGCCCCGCGCTGCTTAATCCGCGCACTCTGGTGGGTCTCCGCAGAAAGTGTTAAACGAGATAAAGTGGAATTACGCAGCGCAGAGGATTCGGGAAAACAAATGGACTCGGAGATTACGACGGATTTTTCACTCGTAATGAAACATATTCTTGGTTCTTTCGGTAAAGTCACGTAGAAGCGAAACAATAAAATAATAAAAATATGAAGCAATACAATTCTCACGACGTTTAGACTGCAACACAAGCAATCATCATCAGGTGTGAAAACCACAGCAAGAAAATTTGAAAAAAGTGGCGGTTTTAAATTTATTGTTATTACTTTCTTGTTTCCCTTCTACGTGACTTTACCGAAATAACCAAGAATATGAATCACTGCAATCACGAAAGCTTTAAATCGTAATGAAACGTTAAACGTATAAAAAGTCGCGGGGGTTCCATAAATCAGGGGGCGTCTGCTCGTCTTCGACAAAGACATCGGCGAGACCGATGACGCAAACCGACGCCCCCCCCCTCCATCTCCTCCTCCCTCGCGGAGGTGAAAAAATATCATCGCACATGAGGCCCCCCGTGAGCGGTGATGACGAGCAGACGGCGCGGCCCAGCGGCAGTGGAGAGAGAGAGATGCCGAAAAGAGACAGGGATGAAGTTAAATGAGAGAACTTGCTACAGACAACACGCGATTAGGGAGATTCATCCGCTGTTTATGTCAATTGACTTTTGAATGTGAACTGGTATTTGGTTCACCCCGATTGCTGCGTGAATCGAGTGCTCCTTGGAGCTGCTTGGGGGCCCTAAACTTCGGCTTGGGTAGCGAAGCTTGCCCAGACTCTGTCCCTCGGCTCGAGACCACGGCGCGCCCCCCCCCCCCTGCACTCTGCCGCGTACCGGTGGCTGGAGGGGGCGGTTCATCATTGAATGCCCCTAATACGAAAACAAATTTACAACCAGTTTGTATTCTCATACAATTCTCCGGCGCGTGGTACACGTGCAGCCCCAAACGAAACTATTGTATTTATTTACCAGCCCACTGAGATATATAGCCTCTTTTTCAGAAGCTACCTGGCCACAAATGATAGCGAAAAGAAGTGGTTCGTCACGTGGACATTTATAGCAGCCAAATACTCGAAACGCGTATTTCTGAATGGTCGCGTGGACACGCAAGTATACAGCAGGCGTTTGGGTCGGGATCGAACCCACGACCTCCTGCACACCAGGCGAGGTAGTTAACATCTCGCCCCCGCGACGCCCTCGTGGTAGGGCTGCAGTTGCTCGCTCATCCCACTGCGAGCGCAAGCGTCTCCAGTCGGGAGAGCCGCACCACAGGGTATTTTGGTCTACTCTTCCATGCTGGCCTCATCGTTTTTGAAGAGGTGACAGTACCCACACTTTACCCCGCCGCACGCGACCTGCCGATAGACTCACCGCGGTTCACCCACTCGCACTGCTGGCTTGGACAGGGGCGCAAGGGTGCTTTGTGAATTGTGGGTTCTGAGAACCTTGCCCCATTTGTCGCGCCGGGAGATTACAGTCGAGCCCGGCGGGCTGTGGGTCTGCAGGTCCGGTGCGCCGAATCGTGACAGCGCCACCGACTGTGGCAGCGGCGTCTAATCGAGACGAAGACTCCGGGTGGCCGCGGGCGTTGTGGCGTTCGGTGCCTCCGCGACCGCCCGCTCGCTGGCCCGCTCGCTCTGGCGCTGCGCCACGCACGGTGCCACGTGGGGAACGTTGCACGCCTCGTTGCCCACCGTGCGCTCTCTCGTCATTCTATATTTTTATACCAAGTTGGTTTTGGTGTGTTTTTTTGTTTGTTCCACCGATGCGCGCGCGTGCGTGCGTGTGTCCGTGAGTGTAGCGCGCGGCGAGGAACCCATCTCGCCGCGTTTTCTTGTTCGGAATCGGTGATCCAGAACGCAATTACTGAACCTGCCTCCGTCTCTTTCCTTAGAAAATCATCCCCCCTGCGGGTGGGGGGGGGGGGGAATCTGCATACTTTAATACAAATCATGTTGTGCTACTTTGTTCCTCAATTAACCCCTTGTAACCCAAGCGAGAGTGATCCACGAGTACGGTGCAGGGCGGCGAGGAGGCTCCGACCTGAAACTCTCGACACGGAGGATGGAGACGCGGGGAGGAGCCTCCGATCTAAAACTATCGATACGGAGGTTGGAGACGCAGGCGGTGCTGCCGGGGCGCGTTCGCCGCTTGTTGCCGAAGGTTCACGGTTCGATTCCAGCGGCCACAATGATTATTACTCTGGGTGTATTAACCCTCGTGATGATAATAAAAATAATAAGACTAGTACGTGCCGGTGGACATTAAAGATCCCGTGATATCGTTTGCAGGCCACCGTGTTCCGGCGGCGTCGTAGTCCAAATTTGAAAAAAATGTTTAAATCCCGCAAAATTATTCAATGGGAATAACCAACCCCGACTACTGCGGACACCTGGCAGGACCCGCCTGCAAGAGAGTCATGAGACTCGGTGAGTCACTCCCGGGTAAACGAGCGTAGTAGTAGTAATAATACTAATAAATAATACATAGAGAGGCTGAGAGAGGGGGGAGATGAGGTAATGGCGACATTCAGATGCTGCAACAACAACAAGGACGGTTGCGAGGGCCGAGATAACAACCACACCCTCTCACCACAGCCTCACCCACACCCTCACCACACCGTGATTGCGCTCTGACTACGCCCTCAACACAACAGCGTTGAGGCCGGGACTGCCCGGCCATCCCAGGGCGTTTGGTAGCTCTGTGATAAACAAAACACACTTGTTATATTTCATTGTTACATTTCATTGTTATATTTCATTGTTATATTTCCCCTGCCCTGGTATTGGTTCTGTTCCCCGTGGGCAGCATACATCAAAATGACGATCACCATCACGATCACTTATCATGTTGACGATCACCATCACGATGATCGCCGGTTGGTTTCGACAGCGCCGCCGCCTTCCTGTACTCCGGGGCGTCTCTCACTCAGAGCGCTCGACGCGCGATCGAGTGAACGGCATCGCGTCCCGAACGCATTTGAAAGGGCACGTCCAGTGGGCAGCTAGCTGTCCCTGTGCGGCACAAAGCGACTCAGCACCCCACCTGCTAGCGGGCATTCGTCTGCCAGTAGAGGGGGGGAGGGGGGGAGGGGACGATCATTGCTGCTGCTATGCCTAATCCCGACTGGGTCATTTTTCAAAATCGGCTCACTCGAATGAAGTCATGGGATGGGATCTTTAACGCTGCGAAGCGAACGGCGCTTCGTGTTGGATGGCTACCGCCCTGCTGAGTTCGAACTCCGAACCTCTGCCACGAGCGGCGGGCGCTCTTCCTCTCGCCGTGCTGCGTCACCCACCGCCCCATGCTGGCACGGGTCCTGGCAAAGTGGATTGGCACGCGTGGTGAGGTGCCGGTGCGTGGCGCTGCGTGTGTGGCGCAGTGTGGCGTTTAGCGCTCCGCTGTGCTGCCAACCACGGCAATCAGAGTTCCATTCCCGCTCACGGCCACCAACACCGGTGACGATTTTCTGAACTGGTCCTGCGCCTCCGTTAGGTCGTCTCAATCTCAAATGAGTACCTGGTGCGGTGTGTAAACATCGCCGCTAGGGAGACAAAGGCGGTCGGGCGTGGTGCTGACCACAATCCACCTCGTATGTCGTGCCGGCCTTCCTCGATGCTCGCTAACAGCACTTGCCCCAATAGTCTGTTGAAGGCTATACGGAGGATCTTTGTCTTGGGGCGTGCTTTCGTGTTTTCGTAGCGTGATGTGAGAGTAACCGCGTCGCCGTGTCTTGACTTTGTCTGTCTGTCACGCTTGATAAATAACATTAATGAAAAAAAACACCACCTCATCCTCCACCACCACCCCCACCAGCACCACCGTGTAACATCAATATGCACAGGACGCAGATGAAATTAGTATCGGTGATATGGGTTCACAAAAAAATCAGCCTGACAGCTTGCCAATTTTCCAGAGGATCAGTCAGATTTGTTGTAAGTATTAATAATTAGAAAGATTCAATTAATTCCCTTTTATGTCATCCACCACCCAAGCCCTTCCACCCTCCCCAGCGTATTAAGGACTCTCTGTGCGTGTCGGACAAAGGCGCAGCCCTGAAATTGCTCACTCAAGCCACTGCTGGTGGAAGGGCCTCAGCTAGAGGGAGCTCTAGAGAGTGCGCCTCTCGTGGGGATTTTGGCCTACTCTTCCACACTGCCCAGACACCTTAGAAGACGTGACGATACCCAGACGCGCGACCTGCCCATGGACGAGTTGTTGACACTGCCCGGCAGGCGCGGGATTTCAGCCACTCGCTCCGTGCTGTGAGCCGCCGCGCCAGCGCGCAGCCGACACAGAACAACAAACCGCCGCCATGCGCTGCGCCCCATCTCATCGCGGGAGATGAGCGGCTGGGGGCCTGGAGAGCGCTTTGGATGGGCGACCGCCGTGCGTTGCCGCACGCTTCGTTGGCGCCAGCGGACGGCAGTGCTGATAAGCCCGCCGTTGTACCGTACGTCTATGCTCCCGCAACTATATTCTCTCCGCCGTCACCAGCGCGCACTCACTTGCCCGTTCAATTGACTCGCGTCACCTCGGCGTCATCAAATAGCTCCCCACGACCAGCAAGGCGTGGGGAGGCCCTCGTACAAAGATGGGTTGGCAGCAGGGCCGTGGCTGTGCATAAAGAGCGGTTGTTCTACGGGGAAACAACTGTGCCTCTACCATAGAAATGTGGAATTTCCATCACTGGTCGGAGCCCCCAAGGCACCGAGCTTGAAGCACTGCGCTACGAGTGTCCAGGTGTGTGCACCTTGCCTGGCACGGGCGCCGTGGTGATGGTTCTTGGTAAGTAGTGTGTGTTTTGCGCCGTGGTTCTGTGCCAGTTAAACATCCACAACATATATCTCCGTGTGGCACGTTCGATTAATAAAGTTAAAGTAAATTTAAAAACAACTTAAGCAACGGCCACATCAATAACCGCGGACACAAATTCAATCAGTCTTTGGTAAAACGCGCATTTCTAAAAAAAAAAAAACCCGGCAGCTTGCAGATTTTCCAGATGATCGGTCAGGTTTGCTGCGATTTTATGAATTATGAGAAAACATCAAATTAATCCCTCCGGTGTCAGGGCAGCGCGAAGCAAATCGCGCGCTGTGAGAGAGACAAAGGGGGCCGAGAGCGACGCACCTTGGACAGGCCTCCGACTTCAAGGTAGAAGCAGACGAGGAAGACGTTCCACGAGACCCACAGCACCATCCACACGGCGTACTGCACGCACAGCACACACGGCACGCACAGCACACCACCGTGTACTGCACTGTGTACTGCACGGTGTGTGTACTGCACTGTGTACTGCAGTGTGTTTGTACTGCAGTGTGTGTGTACTGCACGGTGTGTGTACTGCACTGTGTGTGTACTGCACTGTGTGTGTACTGCACCGTGTACTGCACTGTGTACTGCACTGTGTGTACTGCACTGTGTACTGCACTGTGTGTGTACTGCACTGTGTGTGTACTGCACTGTGTACTGCACGGTGTGTGTACTGCACTGTGTACTGCACTGTGTACTGCACTGTGTGTGTACTGCACCGTGTACTGCACCGTGTACTGCACTGTGTACTGCACTGTGTGTACTGCACTGTGTACTGCACTGTGTGTGTACTGCACTGTGTGTGTACTGCACTGTGTACTGCACGGTGTGTGTACTGCACTGTGTACTGCACTGTGTACTGCACTGTGTGTGTACTGCACCGTGTACTGCACCGTGTACTGCACTGTGTACTGCACTGTGTACTGCACTGTGTGTGTACTGCACGGTGTGTGTACTGCACTGTGTACTGCACTGTGTACTGCACTGTGTGTACTGCACTTCATTTTGTGCATGTTGCACTCAGCACCACACACATGATGTACTACACACGCAGTACACTAACACAGCACCACACACATGATGTACTACACACGCAGTACACTGCTAACACAGCACCACACACATGATGTACTACACACGCAGTACACTGCTCACACAGCACCACACACATGATGTACTACACACGCAGTACACTAACACAGCACCACACACATGATGTACTACACACGCAGTACACTGCTAACACAGCACCACACACATGATGTACTACACACGCAGTACACTGCTCACACAGCACCACACACATGATGTACTACACACGCAGTACACTGCTCACACAGCACCACACACATGATGTACTACACACGCAGTACACTAACACAGCACCACACACATGATGTACTACACACGCAGTACACTGCTCACACAGCACCACACACATGATGTACTACACACGCAGTACACTGCTCACACAGCACCACACACATGATGTACTACACACGCAGTACACTGCTAACACAGCACCACACACATGATGTACTACACACGCAGTACACTGCTCACACAGCACCACACACATGATGTACTACACACGCAGTACACTGCTAACACAGCACCACACACATGACACAGTCCCCCACCTTAACACGCCGCTAGATCTAAAAGCACGGCCTTGTGTGGCCGGAAGCTTCAGGCAGTCGCCGGCACAGTTTGCGTGCCCCTACGATGTCGCGGGCGGGCGCCAGTGAGAGGTGAATTTGTCGGACTGGGCTGCGGTTCGACTTTAAAGCGACGACTCCGTTCGTTCCTGTGGCGCTGACGCAGCGGCGGTAACAACGCCGACCCAGCAGCGTTCATCCTCCTGCTGCTGCTGCTGCTCAGCGTCTCGGAGTCACTCCTCGCCATCGCGAGCGAGCAGAGGCGACCCCTTCGGGTCGAGGTCACGGCCGGGTTTCGGGGCCGGGTGGATCGAGGGGACCCCCGCGGACTCGACGGGCTCGCTTCGGGCGGCGGGAGCCGGGGGACGAGACGACAAGGGGCGGTGGGGGGGGGGGTCCCCCGGTTCCGCGTGGTGCGATCAAAAAAATATCATGGAGGTGGTGGAGCGCACGGCGGACACGGCGGAGAGATCGCGGGGGAGGTGGGCCCACAGGGCCGACACGGAGCAGAGCGCGTGAAGGAGAGAGTCCATCCCCTGCTGCACACTCGCGTCTCGTGTCATGGGAACAGCGGAACACTGCTGCAAGCGGCAAAGGCGCCTGCCACTGGATTCGAACTCTAGGGTTCTCGTCGTCTGCGACTGTGTGTACACACCGTTGGAGACGACGGTGTGTACACACAAACACAACGCTGTGTGTCCCCACACAACGCTGTGTGTCCCCACACACACACACTCACACAACGGTGTGTGTGTGTCCCCACACACACACAACGGGGCGAGGGAGTGAGACGGCGGGCAGCTGGATGACCCAGCCTCCTGAGCATCTTGTGATGCTCAGGAGGCGCAATAACTCCCTGCCGGCCTAGACCACAGCAGCCCGTTCTCGACCTCTCGTCGACATCTCCGCTGTGGCGTCGCGAGGATCGTGTTGCTTCAGGGGTTTGCGACCTGCGACTCCGGGGCCGCGTGCGCTTCGTGACCGCTGTGTAGCAAGCACCGCCGTCTCGTGATCACACGTGATGACGTGTGATCACACGTGAGATCACACGTGAGATCACATGTGTGATCACACGTGATATCACACCAAGTTCAACGCGGCTCTTGAAACTTTGAGGTTTTTTTTCTTTTTGTTACCGAATTTGAGAAAAAAACCTCTCTTCTCGTTATATAAGTTGCCGACAACCGTATTGGTTGAAAGCAATGGGTGGAGGGGTGATGGGGGGAAAGGGGGAGGGCAAAACGAAGATCTTCTTGGGGAAACCACCAAAGGGCCCGGCCGGCACCGCCCGGGCAGTGGCTTCGTGGGGCGCCGCGTTCGGAGCGAGACGCCGAGGGCGCCGCGACGCGGCACTGAGAGCCACCTCGGCCGTCTCCTGCCTCTCGCCTCCGTGCAATAGACGAGAGAGGAGAGAAGGACCCCCCCCACTCCCCCGCCAGCACACACACACACACACATGCGCGCCATTACAATTATGGTGCTAATCCTCTGCATCTGCCTGCGATGGTGGCAGCGGGCGGGCGGAGTGTGTAAAGGGTTAAGACGACAGATTGGTGTATTCCTCCAGCGGGGGGCTTATCACGCACGGTTCAGTAAGCACGCAGCCTTCACGCGATGCGAGGTGGCATTAGGACGGGCGAGCAATTTGCGTATTAAAAATGCAAGCCGGGGACGGTGGCGGGCGAATTGTAACTCGCGAATGTGAACTGCGCGGCGGGCGTAGGAGGCATAGAAGAGTGAAAGATAGTGAGTGACATAGCGAGTGACATAGTGAGTGACATAGCGAGTGACATAGCGAGTGACACAGCGAGTGAGAGATAAAGTGAGTGAGAGATAAAGTGAGTGAGAGATAGTGAGAGTGAGAAATAGTGAGTAAGATATTGAGTGTGAGAGTGACATAGCGAGTGAGAGTGAGTGAAAGAGAAAGTGAGAGAGAGTGAGAGATAGAGTGAGTAAGATATTGAGTGAGAGAGTGACATAGCGAGTGAGAGTGAGTGAGAGATAAAGTGAGAGAATGAGTGAGAGATAGAGTGAGAGTGAGAGATTGAGCGAGAGTCGAGTGAGAGATAGGGTGAGTAAGATACGGAGTGAGAGTGAGTGAGAGTAAAGTGAGAGATTGAGTGAGAGTGAGAGATATAGCGAGAGTGAGAGATCGAGTGAGAGTGAGAGATATAGAGAGTGAGTGAGGGATCGAGTGAGAGATAAAGTGAGAGATTGAGTGAGAGTGAGAGATATAGAGAGTGAGAGATTGAGTGAGAGTGAGAGATATAGAGAGTGAGAGATTGAGTGAGAGATCGAGTGAGAGATAGAGGAGAGTGAGAGTGAGAGATAGAGTGAGTAAGATATGGAGTGAGAGAGTGAGTGAGAGAGAAAGTGAAAGATTGAGTGAGAGATAGAGTGAGAGATAGAGTGAGAGATATAGAGAGTGAGAGATATAGTGAGAGTGAGAGATTGAGTGAGAGATCGAGTGAGAGATAAAGTGAGAGATAGAGTGAGAGATAGAGTGAGAGATAGAGAGTGAGAGATTGAGTGAGAGATCGAGTGAGAGATAAAGTGAGAGATAGAGGAGAGATCGAGAGGATACAATCCTCGTGGGCGGAGCGCGATGATGCACGGGGTAGAAGACAGAGAATGTGTTCGCATATCCGACTCTGGGAGGTCCGTAGCGGCGCTGCTCGGGCAGATGGCTGCCCCGGATTACGGATACTTTTTTTCTGGCAACCCCTACCCCCCCTGGTTTTTGTATTTGAGCGGAATGGGACATGACGTTTTAATTACTTTTATAATGAGCTGCGAACAGCTAAAGCGGTGTCGCAGAGGCAGTCGCTATGAGGGCGGATTGTGCGCAGGGAATAGACTCCTCGGTCTCGGAGATGAAGAAGGAACGAGAGGACGGAGGAGCGAAAGGGGAGGGAGGCATCGTGAGCCTTGCAGCAGCTGGGTGGATGTGGATTATTTTAGGCGGGCGTAGAACGGGCATGTAACCGAATAATTTGCCCAATCTCCACCAATCTATTTATTTTACCTCCGCAACATTGGTGCGGGGAAGATAACGATCATGTGTATGTTTTAGGTGTGTGTGTATGTCTGTGTGTGTGTATGTGTGTATGTGTGTGTATGTCTGTGTGTGTCTCTATGTGTATGTCTGTGTGTGTCTCTGTGTGTATGTGTGTATGTGGGGAGCGATAGTGTAGCGGTTAGCGCGCTGCGCTGCGCTATGAACCTGGCGACCCGGGTTCGATTCCCGCTCACGGCCAACACCAGTGACGATTTTCTGAACCGGTCCCGGGCTTCCCCTAGGTCGACTCAGCCTCAAATGAGTACCTGGTGCGGTGTGTAAACATTGCCACTGGGGAAACTAAGACGCTCGGGCGTGGTGCTGGCTACCCACCCTATCGTGTACCGTTCAAGCCTTCATAGGTGCTCGCTAACAGCACTTGCCCCAACAGTCTGTTAAGGCTATCCGGGGGATCTTTGCGCGTGTTTATTTTCCTCTGCACGGCTGCTGTCACCCTGCCGTCAGTCACCCCGCCCTGGCTCGAGGAGACAATCGCTTGCTTTTATTGATTCCTTAAAAAAAACACCACACGTGTCTTTACACACGCGCCTTGAACTTCTCTCGCACCGCACGTGGCCAAGCGTGCGTATCGGAGGTGCGCCGCACGTGTGCCCCGTGCGGTGCAGAGTCGACGAGCGAAAGTTGGACTCCGGCCTGGGTCTCGGCAGGCGGCGACGGTGAGAACCGCGGTGGAACTCGACCGTGGAGTTCGCCATCCACCGCAGAGGTCAAACATTTTGTCGAAGGGTCCTTACAGTTGTTACGTTTCGCCGCGAGGGCGGTGCACTTGCACCACCCCGATAGGTCGAGGTCAGCTTCGGCAGCTACCGTGTTTGGTATTCATCAGCGCACCGAGGTCTTTGTTAACATGTTTTTATTTATTATTATCTCAGCCTGCGTCTTCGTTCAGATCTCGTGGAATTCCTCTCACGCATTTGCTCGCCGGTGTGTGGAGCCGCAGTTGCGTTCATCATCTCGCTCGTTGAGTTCCATCCAACTCTTTGTTGACAAAAATAAATATTCTCATCGCTAATTTAGAAATGTATGGATGTATGTTGAAACTTCCTTCGCACCGTACGTAGGCCAACCACGCTAATCGTACGACTGCTGCTCGACACGTGTTGTCTCTACGTCAAGGTAAAGTGCTGCTGTCGCTGCTGATTAGCGAGGTTATCGGTCCGGCTCGTCACGCGCTGATCTCATGCCCAGCCACACGATGGAGCGGCGGCGGGGGGGGGAGGGGCACAATAACGGCGATGGAGACGCTCACAAATTGTGCGCCTCATCCCCCACACCACCGCCACCACCGCCGCGTGTGCACAAGCGGTCGTGGTGGTGTTGGCGGCGGTGCTTACTCGACGAGGGCAAATTGAAAAACGCGCATCGAATCCGCGGAAAGCGAGACACAGTTCAAGTTAAATGCGTCGTTGATGGAGCCATATGGAAAGCATCTGGCTGTGAACGTCGCGGACGGAGTTCGCGAAGCGCGCGCGGGCGTCAACAAACGCCGCGAGCTTCCCACCGACGGCTCCGCCGCCCCCGCTCGTCGAGGAGCGCCTCGGGGCGCGCCGCCCCTGCAGCGTCTCGAACGCGCGCGTGGCGTGCGGGCGCGTGGGGAGCGGTGGCGCAGCGGTTGAGCGCACTGCGCTCCCGATGAGCTATGCAAGCGAACTGAGCTGTGTGACTGTTTTGCTGAAGCGGCCTGAACACACATTATAGCTCGACGAAATGGCGTTTCATCACGTGGGAATTTATAGCAGCCGAGTAATGTGAACGCGTGATGTTGATAATTACAAATGCGGAGGGGAAAACCGGAGGGTCCAGAGAAAAGAATCCACGCGACCAAGGGAGAGAGAGAGAGAGGGAGACATGCAAACTCCAAATATACAGCAGGCGTCACAGTCGGGATCGGACCCACCGCTGCCCCATCGGACCCACCGCTGCCCCATAGTGCAGCGTGTTGCAGCATGGTTCGCCAGTGTGCAGCATAGTGCGCCAGTGTGCATAAGTGTACATCAGGGTGCAGCATCGTGCGGCAGCGTTGCGCCCTTGTGCAGCAGAGCGCTGCATTGTGCAGCAGAGTGCTGCACGGTGCAGCAGATTGCTGCACTGTGCAGCGGGGAGTCGCCGTCTCGTGCGTGGCCGTGGGCTTCGTGCCGGGGCGCAGCAACTCGTGGCGGCCTCGGGCGGGCGTCGCGACCGCCGGGTGGACTCAGAGTAAAGCGGCAGGGCGCATCGCCACAGATCCACACGCGGAGCTGCGCTATTGGAGCCAATCCACGGCAAAGCGAACAGGATGTCTGACGACTTGAGCTTCGCGAACACTCAGAGGGGTGACACAAAGCACCGCGAGTGTTGGAGCGATATTCCCCGCTAAGTAAGTGTCAGGGCGTTGTTGGTGTGGGCTTATAGGTGCAATAATAAAATGTCCCAACCCACCCGCCCATACCTCCTCCCCCCTGTTCATAGCCAGGCGCCTGGGCTCCTCCAGCACGGGGGCTTCTGTGCAGTTGCACCGCCTGCACACTCGATAATTACTCCGTTGCTAGAGAGACCGACAGTTTAATACATGCGTGTGTGGAAACGGGTGCGAGCATGTGGGCCATGTGTTATGACTTGCGTCACGTGGACCGTAACCTATAGCACCTGAATCGTCAGTCCTGTGACCTATCGGTGAGCCTTTGACACTTCAATGTGGCATCAATTTGCACCTAGCCTGGCACAAGTATTGTGATGACGTCACCGCCAGATAGTGGTGAATGACGGTTGTTGTCGTGTGTAGGTGTGTGTGTGCACAGTGTGTGTCACCTTTTAAGTTGTCTTTCCATTTTTATTTAGATTGTGCAGCTAGCATCAGGTCATGCGATGCTGAAAATTTCATTGGGCAGCAGTGCATCACCTTATTAGGGAATGTCCCAAGTAAATATATGTTATATAACTTTAAGTGATTACTCATGCACACTCGTGCAAGTGTAGCATGGCAAGCAAATCAACATTGGTTTCTTCTGTGGAGTTTTTGAGTCTCTGCGTGTGAGTATATGGGTTTCTGTGTGTCTACAGTTCTATAGGCGAGTCTATTGGTCTCTAGGTGATTATATGGGTCTCTATGTGAGTTTATGGGTATCTGTGTGAGACTGTGGGTTTCTGTAAGAGTCTTTTCGTCTCTGTGTAAATCTATCCTCTAGGTGAGTCTATTGGTCTCGAGGTGAGTCTATGGGTATCGAGGCGCCTTTATATGTATCATAGGTGAGTCACTGGGTCTCTGTGTGAGTCTATGAGTCTCTGTGTGAGTCATTGGTGACTGGCCTGAGACAACCATCTCGCTAAACCTAAGAACCCGAAGTAATCATGGGCAGCGGCTGAAATCCGGATTCGAACCCAGGGGTCTAAGTGGTGCTGGTTCAGCCTCTCTGATGCCTGAGCTACTCGGCGACCACCACTTCTGAGTGAGCGGCATTCAAAAGCCTGGAAATTGGCGGCGAGGCGCAATCAGCCAGGGCTGCGTGAGAGCGGGAGAAGAAAAATGCGATTTACGTGACGGGCAGGTTGACAGGGCACGGGTGTGTGCTCTGATAATGGCGTGGCTGCTGCTTCGCCGATGTCTGCAGTGGCGTTTTATCGCCTCTCCCGTGTGCCTCGCTCACTCCCCGCTGAACCTCGCTCACTCCCCGCTGAACCTGGCTCACTCCCCGCTGAACCTGGCTCACTCCCCGCTGAATCTGGCTCACTCCCTGCTGAACCTGGATCACTCCCCGCTGAACCTCGCTCACTCCCCGCTGAACCTGGCTCACTCTCCGCTGAACCTGGCTCACTCCCCGCTGAACCTCGCTCACTCCCCGCTGAACCTGGCTCACTCCCCGCTGAACCTCGCTCACTCCCCGCTGAACCTCGCTCACTCCCCGCTGAACCTCGCTCACTCCCCGCTGAACCTCGCTCACTCCCCGCTGAACCTCGCTCACTCCCCGCTGAACCTGGATCACTCCCCGCTGAACCTGGATCACTCCCTGCTGAACCTGGATCACTCCCCGCTGAACCTCGCTCACTCCCCGCTGAACCTGGCTCACTCTCCGCTGAACCTGGCTCACTCCCCGCTGAACCTGGCTCACTCCCCGCTGAACCTGGCTCACTCCCCGCTGAACCTGGCTCACTCCCCGCTGAACCTCGCTCACTCCCCGCTGAACCTCGCTCACTCCCCGCTGAACCTGGCTCACTCCCCGCTGAACCTGGCTCACCCCCCGCTGCTCAAGGAGTCAACGCACAGGATGGGCGGCACGCTGCTAGTTGACGGGCGACAGCCGCGGCGTGGCGCGCTCGAGGCTCGGGTTCACCGCAGTTGAGCGACGATGCTCTGATGAACATTGATTCTTACACTGAGCAGTACCACGGGGCATCGACTCGCTCGCGCAAGAGACGGCGTTTTAATTCGTGGCCGTTGCACGCAATTCGGTTCACGTAAATATCTGCAGCCGCTAGAGCAGCGGTGGAAATTACTCGAAGGCCCACGGGCTGGAGATGGCCCGGCACTCCGTGGCATACGGCCCCACGGACTCGGGAGGCCGACCACGTGGAATGGGCTGCAGGCGGGGGTCTACCCGTCACCGAGAGCATCTTAGCCTGCGACCTCCTTCAGAACCGCGCCGTGCGTGTGACGCGAGGGGGCTCAGCTGGCGCGCCTGGTTGCGGCGTGCAGGAGAAGCGAGAAGACGGTGGTCGAGTGGAAGCTGCAAGCGGGAGCTGGATGTTTTATGGCAGAAAAAGCGGATGATGTCCTGAGTGTGGTGTGAGACATTAGAGTCGGATGGATTGGTGTGAGGTTTGAGATGTAGGTGGCTGATGGGTTGGGTGTGGAGTGAGTAGGATTGACTCATGGGTTGGGGTACCAGGGACACGGTAAATATATATTTAGGGGGGGGCCTTCAAGATCCAACGCGCCGGGCTGCAGCCCCGATGAAGTCCCCAGAGCGGGTGAGCGAGGAGGCGTTCGTCTGCGACACGTGCCCGACTCTCACCGCGGTGAGGTAGCGTGGGCGGTACTGCAGCGCTCCGAAGAGGCCCAGGATGAGCATGAGGATGTGCAGGAAGTTGGCGAGGATGGGCGCCCACTGGTAGCCCAGGAAGTCGAAAATCTGCCGCTCCACGGCCGTCACCTGTCGCGAGCAACGGCACAGGGGGGGGGGGGGGGGGGTTGCGTGAAAGCGGTCGTGAGAGTGGCGGCAAGACGAAGACGGAGGGGAAGGAGAATCGTGCGCGCGCGTGGATTCGCACTCATTGACGCGCGTGCCTCCTCGGAGGTGTTTGATCGCTCGCTACGTTCGCAGCTGGACGAGATGTCACCACGGCGCTTGAGGTGTGACACCGCGAGGTGATTTCACGCGTGATGAAGTCATCGCCTTGACGAATTCTTTAAGCGCTGGAGTTTTTATAACCAGCAAGTTTTAAACAACCAATTAGACTTCAAAAAAAATGTAAGCCCTACATTTAGAATCGTAGTTAAATTCATCATATTATTCACATTTAGTCGTGAGTTAAAAGCACTCCGAAGCGGTTTTCTGGAAGTGCAGATATTCATCCTCCTATCCGTAGGGGTTTTTTTTTTATTGCGGAGAAGAAGAGTGACCCAGAAGCTATGGAGAGCTCATCCTCTAATCCGCGTCTAGCCGTGGAAAACCTCGCTTCTATTTATTCTTTTCATCTTCACGAAAATGGTCCATCAAGAGAGCCCTCGTCTGCGGCTTGAGCTCCTTCCCCGCCTGGCCGCTGATCTCTCAGTAACAATCCGGGGCCCGTTTGTCTTGTGGAGTCTTTGCTTGCAACGGTGTTACCCGGAGCATCTGATTTATTGGCTCAGACAGCCGAGGACGCAGCATCACAGGGAGCGCGCCTTCCGCACTGGGCGCCGTGCCTGATGGGTTTTGGTCGTAAAAAGTCTACGATGGTTAAAATCGTTTTTTTTATTTTTTCTTTAACATTCCCGGCAACAGCGTCGATATAACAAACACACAAACTAAAAAACGAATGTTTAACGGGTTTGCCGCACGTGTACAAATGTCGTGTGTAATAAACACAACACCTTTAGTTATAAACTCACAATTACAGGCAACTGCCGCAGCGGCGTAATGCCGAGCAGCGCCACTGGACTTGCAATGCAGAGTCCCCCAGTTCAATTCCATCTCCCGGCGTGGAAGCTCAAACAATAGCGCTAGTTTCTTACACCCCCCCCCCCCCATCAACTCTCTCCACCCAGCGGTACCTCATGGTCTATGAGCAAGGTCGCGCGTGTTGGGGCAAAGTGAGAGTACGGCCACCTCTTCCGACTAAAATTCCACGAGGAATCGGTCACTGGTTCCTATCCGGTAAAAACAGGCCGTAGATTCTGAAATATCTTGGAAGAAGAGGGCGCACCCACACTTTACCCCACCGCACGCGACGCGCCGATCGACTAACCGCGAACAGTGGTGGACGTCTTTGTACCCCTGGGCAGACAGAGGCGGTGGAGCCGGGAAGGGGGGCGATCATTTAAGAACCTTTCGCCATTCTTCGAGTGCCGCGCCGGGAGATCGAACCAAGCCGGCGACCAGCGCGCCAGCTGTTACAATACCGCAGCATCCAGCTGTCTGCCGTTCGATATTCATCTTCTTCGCGTGCATGACGTGTCCCGGTTTTTTTTTGTCGTCACCGCCATCACCACTCTTGTTGTTACGTGACAGGTGGCAACCCAATTTGCTCCGCGAGCGGCCGTGGCCGGGAACGGCGACTGCGAGCGACGCCGTCTCCACGCAGGAGGCGGAGTGGGGTTAACAGCGCCGCGACATCTTAATACAATCACTGCGGCGGTCCCAGCGTTCCATTATCACTTCGCGTTTCTCATCAGGACCTAACGCGTCCCGCGGGAAGCGAAGGGAGGCAGGTGCCGAGCGGAGCGTTTTTTTCGTGAAACGTATTTATTTATTTGCTTCTTTTTTGTTGTTGTTGATGCCCGGGCTTTGTGTTATGCGCTCTGCTGCTGCCCGCCGTGCGCTCTAAAGGGTTAATCCGGGACACAACCGCAAAATCATCATCATCATCATCGACACCATCAGCAGCACCATCAGCGCAAGCCACCGAGAGAGCATTGTGACGCCGATGGCTCGTGATCAGAAGGCGCCTTTTTGTGATCGTAAAATACCTCGCCGCAACATTTTACACTACAAATGTCGTTGTAGCTGCGCCTGGCTCGTTCCTTTGTGATTCCTGGTCTGCAATGCCTGGTCTGCAACGGTGACTCCGTGCGAGTGTGCACGCCGTGCCAGGCACTGGGTGCTCACGACGCAAGGAACTGAATGACACAGCAGGATGCTCCTCCTAATGTCGACTTTTTCCCGCTCGCTCTATAGTTCTCCAATGCGGGTTCGGGTCGGCACGGCGTCCGACGTTTCGCTCAACACCCTGGGAGCTTCGCCAGGTAGCGAGTAGCTCGCGTTCTCGCTAGGGGTGTATTGGGTGCCGGCTGCCGCTGGCGTTGGTTGGCGTCGTTGATTTCATTCAGACGAAGCGAATGAACAACGTATGAGCGCCAAGGACTACAACAGAACGAGCGCATTCAACACGCAGCTCTTCGCGATGAATTCATCATCGTTTTTGTGGACCACACCGCGTGAGCAAAAAAATGCGTGTCATAAGCCCCCCGTCCACCCGTTACGGTTGTCACGTGGTGGACACACGTGCCAATGTATTACTCCTTCAAAGCATCATGGTTGCGTTAAATGTTCAACAATGTTATACAATGTTGAACAATGTTACCAAATTGTGATGTTGTGGATTTCTCCCCAACATACCGGTGTGCTAAAGCAGTCCTGAATTGGCACGTTTACGTGACGACTTTATTAATTGGCTGTGTCGGGTAGAGGAGGGTTTGCGACACAGTATTTTAATTGCAAGATCGAACCCAAAAATCAATTACGAATCGAACCCGGGGGAGTGGCCTGCGTGTATGTTGAACTTCTTTCGCACCGCACGTTGCCAACCATGCTATTCGGAGAGTGCGTCGTGTAGCGCGCTAACCGCTGCACCACCACTCCCCACCGCCGCGCACATGCAAATTTCATCCCTAGTCGCTCGGTTTTTCCCATTTAAATGTTAACAACAACACAAGGTTCGGGGGGGGGGTCGTTCGTTTGTATTTGTAGAATTCCTGACCTCCGCCGAGCTCCCAGAGCGCACGCCTCGCAGCCGCTGATATTTGTTTAATTTTAACTCAGCACCGCGCTCGCAACGCCGAGCGCTCGCCACTCCACTGGTGGACGAGTGGCCCGTCCGCTCGCTCGACCGTGCGGGTCGTGGGGTGATGATTCGTTCGTACGTCCAGCCACGTCGGCCAGTGCGGGTTGATGAGGGCGGGAAACGCAGACGTGACAACAGAGTACAGTACAACAATGGAGTTTGCTTCACTTTCCTCTGGCACCGCACAGCAGCCCGTAACGCCTGTGACGTCCGGCGCACGTCCGTCCAAGCACTCTCCAGGCTCAAACCCCGCTTAGCGTCCCAGATCTGACGATAAGATCGCGACCGTTCCGGGCGAATTAGATCATAGGCAACACACCGAGCATGGGAGCTGTATTCAATTACGCTCATGAAGAAGCTCCCAGCACGTGGTACGAAACGTCGGACATCGTGCCGAACAACCGGAGAGCACTGCGGAGTTGGGGTGGCTTCTTTGATGGGGGGGGGGGGGGGGGGGGGAGCGGTGGCGACTGGGACAGCCGAGGAATCTGAGAGTCGGTGGCGTCAGTGGCTCTGGCTGGCGGAGGGGAGCTAAGGGGGGTAAGGGGTCAGCTGCTGCCCAGGACAGGTGCAGGGTGAGGGTTCGCTCCCCTCCCCATGGGGCAGGAATTTTGGGCCGAGACCGTTTGGCGGTCTCAGACCACACGTTCGCGCGGTCCCCACCGCACACTCTCGCACCCGTTTAGCTGTCACACGAACAGCGTGCCAGATGAGAAGCGTAATGCTGCACTGCGTGTGTGTGTGTGTGTCGGAGGGGAGCGGTGGAGCGGCGGTTAGCGCGTTGCGCTAGGATACCCGGCGACTCCAGTTCGATTCCCGCTCACTGCCAAAACCGGTCCTGGGCCTCCGCTTGGTAGACTCAGCCTTAAATGAGTACCTGGTGCGGTGTGTAAACATCGCCACTCGTCGGAGACAAAAGCGACCGGGCGTGGTGCTGGCAACCCACCCCCTCGTGTGCCGTGTCGGCCTTCATAGGTGCTACTCGCTAACAGCGCTTACCCCAACAATCTGTTAAGGCTACACGGGGTATCTTTGTCTTTTAGTGCCAGAGCCGCTGACAGGGTGCGGGAGTCGTTGTTGCGAGCGATTGGCTCCCGCTGGTGCTTGGTTTCATCACAGACAGATGACGGCACCAAGAGGCAGAGACTGACCGAGAAACTTGCCAAGGGGCCAGTCATTCTGAGATGTCAAGAGTGTAAAAAATAATGCGCTTTGTTTTACATACCAAAAAAAATACCTAATGTACTTTCTCTGTCAATAACAATCCACCCCCGCCCGGACGACCATGGATCCACCCCACATCTGTATTGTCCATAAACAGCAACAACTCAACAAGTACATCAATAACACCGCCCTAACATGCAAGCATTTTAAATATATATCAGGTGACGTTTCAAGCAACGGCTCTTCTTCAGAGTAGTAGTGTGTGATTGACAAATGTGTTGAAGTTTTATATTGTTTGGTTGTATTGTTATTTGTGCGTGTACACCACTGCGTACAACAGAGCATCGCGAGATCTTAGTGGGGGTTTTTTTTTAAAATCGTCTCCTGTTTTTTTGGGTGCACGGAGACCACCCATCCGAGAACGATCCGAGTTCAAGCTGCCCGGATCTGACGCTCTGCCGCTCCCAGGCGACACCACGGCAGGTTACGAGAACACAATCCATCACGGTTGCGATCTCTGCACTTTAAAAACCACGCACACAAATCGCCCAATGTTTTACGGCCGGGCTTTGCCGTAAAACGTGAAAGATTTTCGCCTGGAAACGTGGTGCGGTGCAATTCGCTCGGGCGGACGTCGGATCGGCCCCGTGATGTAGAGGCTTCGGGACAAAGGGAGGTGTCCTGTAAATCCCGCCGTGATTTCCTTCGCGGAGCTCCACGGCTC